GGGACGACGGTGGAGGACGGTGCACCGGTGACGGCCGCTCACCGCGAACGCACGCACGCACGCACGCACGTGAACGCAACCCACAAACTGTGGCACTGGCTGTCGGCGCGCGGACCGGGACGACTCGCCCAGGCGTCGTGCGCGCGCGAACCGAAACGAGGGGCGGCCGTGCCGGAGTGTCCGCGGGCCGGTCCCACGCGGTCGAGTCCACCCGCCCACAGGCCGCGGGCGCGCTCTGGCATTCGCCGTCGCGCGGTTTCCGCCGCGGAAGCTGTTCCGAGGCGGCGGCGCGTTTTTCGCCGAACCGCCGCCCGGTAACGTTCCCCCGGAAAATTCGCCCCCGACCGGACGTGACGGTTGGACAACGATGCGATGCGGACGACGGGCGGTAAAAGAATTTAAAAAAAAAAATCACCGCCGTACGTGTTGCGCGCAAATATTAACGGTACACGGACACGTTACGTGTTACGACCAGTAGCAGTAAACGTTCCGGGGAGACTTGAATTGTATAACATTTTACCCCATAGAACAACACGAACAAGAAAAACCCTTTTATCGGAAAATTAATCACACCTAATATTTGATTTAATATTTAGCTAATGTTTTTAACTCGATTCAGTTGTACGATTTTATTTTTTTCTTACTAATTCTGCAATTTTTTTTTTAACTGCGAATTCGCAGACGACCGTGAACAGCGGCCAACGACGGCGCGATGGAAATTATCATCGTCAACACATCAGCGTCTGCAGTACGCGGATTATTCTCCCCGGCCCCCTCCGTGCAACAAGCCAAACCGTTACGCGTCGAACGTCGGTTTCTTTGAAACGACGACCGTCGTCGGAATTACTAAAATAGTGTTTCCGTCGAAATAATCGTTTACAGGTTTTATATTTTGTAGCCTTAAATTTATAATAATAATAAATATAAAAAGCGCTATAACATGTTTTCAATAAAAATATTTCTATACATTTTTAAATAGTAATTATTTACAAACAGCTGGTTTTTTTTTTTTCTAATAGGAGACGCGGTCTCAAAGTCTCCCCTAAAGAGCCACCCCTGATTACGACCGTGCTCGGGTTCGTCGAGCACAAGCGCGTTCCTTACCGACTTGGTGGTTCGGCTGCGACTCCCGATGAACGTGGGGGAAGGCGGGCCATCGGGACAAGCGACGCGCTCGAGCACAGAAATACGAGCAACGTTTCGTCGTTAGCTCGAAATTAATTGTTGCAAGTCAAACGAACAATTCGGAACGTGAAACCAAGTTTCATATTTTCATTCGGTTCCATGCACGTCCTGTTCCATTACAGTTATGATTAAATCGTATTTGAATATGACAAACGAAAAATACAAAAAAGTAAAATCATATTACCAATCTCTTCGTGTTATACAAGTGGTTTTATCCTAAATACTTATTTCCCACTTTTGGTGAATCATCAGAATTCTTATTTTTCAAATGTTTAAATGGTTCTCGTTAGACATTATGATTGCACTTACATTTTGTCCTTCGATCAAAATAATTCACATTCTTATTACCGTTAGTTGCTGTTATTTTCTATTAATCGTGTCAGCCCCCGTTTCTAGTAAAACCATTTAATCACCAAGTAATGTGTGGTCGTAAATTAATATTTCTCTGAAAACTTTAAAATTTTAAAGGTTATTGTGTCTGGTGACAAATCGTAGACCAAATTGACAACGTTGAAAATTTATTTTTCTGTGCCCAAACGATTTTTCGAGAATTATGGAACATGCTCAATCGAGTATTTCGATTGGACATAGATACTTACAAGAATGACAATATTTAGAACACGGATGTTGTTGCATTTGCAAATTTTCTTCTAAAATTGTTCTCTATTTTCTATTTCAATATATTGCCAGTCATCGAAGGTAGAGGAATACCAGAGACTTTCGTTTTAAAAATCTCTAAACGTGATGGTGCTTTCAATAATACTTTTTTAACGTTTGACACAAGTCCCAGGGGCGTAATTAGGGGGAAATTAGGGGGATGGATCCCGCCAAAAACTTTATCTATGTAATTTTTTTTTATTTATTATATTGTGATAATATGATTATTATCGTTATTATTATTATTACGATTACAATTATCATTAATATTATTATTAAAATTTAAATTATTAAAATTTTGTTCTGGTGAGGTGGAGGGGTTACTGTATAAGGTATACAGATTTTGCTAAAACCTATAATCCTCCCCAAACCAAATTCCTAATTACGCCACTGACAAGTCAGTCTACATTATTAAATTTCCCACGAATTGTTTCCGCTACTCTATGATGTACATGTGTCAAGACAGATGACGTACACCATTTTTGAATAAAGCGCTTTTAACAAATTGACAGCTTTAATCATATATGGAACGGCATGAGTAACAAATAAAAGAACATCATCGTGACGAATGCCTTCTGGCCATAAGAGAAACATCGATTGATCAAAAACTTAACTAATTGTGAAGTAATTTGCTTTATCTAACTCTTCAGAGTTCAATAAATACAATTTTCCCGACGTATTTTTATCAAGAATACCAATAATCACGTTTATTACGTAGCGATCTTCGCAATCTGTTATTTCGTCTATAGAAACAAATTATTTTTTGCCAACGACATCATTCCTAATTTTTTAATTGTTTCTTCATAACAATCAGTTAAATAATTTTTGCAAAAAGTTGACTCTTCTGGTATTTCTTTTCCTGTATATTTTGTTAAAAAATTACGAAATATTTTATTATTTACGTTGTGGAAATGAATATTGGCTCCTAGAAACGCTCTGCACATATCCATATAAAATGATGATTTTTTACCGACCACATTGGAAATTAGTTGTCGTGACTGAGTTTGTTTCTGTCGATCAATTGTGCGAGTATGTTTGGCCGTCTTCAAGGGTTCGACGGTAAAACGATGTTAAGATCCAACTGTAATTTCATACACTTTACAATACAAAACCGCACCATCCGTAAAAAAAAAACATCGTTTCCAAACTCATATACATAACTTTTAAGTCGAATTTAATAAGAAGATTTACACTTCGGCATTTTTAAATAAAAGTAAAATAAACGTGGAAAAATATAAATAATAATAGGTACTCTTAACGACTGAGATGGAAACACGGTGATTAAAAACGTATTAATACGTCGCCCGGTCGTCGCCATATACTCATGGCATGAAGTGTATACAAAATTCTATTATTAAATCGTTATCTAATAAATATTCCGGATAAGCATAATATAACAATACCCAATAAGGAAAATTATTTATATTTTACGTTAAATTGTTTTGAAATACGCATTTATATTCATAAAATCCAAAAATATGCATTTAAAATACAAAACCACTAAATATGCAAAAATATACAAAATAAAAATAGCATTATTTTATTCAGTAGAATACGAATCAAATTTGTATCCAGATCAGCAATAAATTGGATAAATAGAAAAAAAATATACCATTTTATAAAAATCCGAGTCCTAGTTATGTTAAGGCGTCACGATAATTTGATTATTTTTAAAATTGTATCTGTCGTTTCTTACTAGGATTATTGGATTTCTCGTATTCTAAGATTATACGTTTTAGATAATTCAGTCAGTTCATGAATATCGTGTAATGGTATTGTTTTATTTTATTTAAATATACAGAAAATTAAGCCGAGATTTTCTACTGTTTAAAAAAAAGAATGTTTGAATTTAAAAATTTAAAAAAATCTCAATGTACCTAATACATTTTTTTAAAATACTTTTTAGAGTTAAAATATTTTGTAACGTATTGTAAAATAAATTCAATCTTATAAAATTATAACGAAATTTTATTTTTAAACATAATTTTCGGTTAGAACACAATGCAGGTTATATGTATACCCTAAACACAGAGCCTTGTTTCTAAAAATATCAAAAATAAATAAAAACATGACATTGTTGGTCTTTAAATAGATATTAAATAATTTTTTATTACATTATAATTATTATTATACTCGTAATTATTACTATAATCTTATACTCGGTCCCAGACATTTTTATTTATTTTTGAAACACAAATTATATACTAATTAAATAATGAATTAATGCTTCAAGATAAATTAATTCACAATAGTTTATATAATATATAAATAAATAATATCATTATTAGATATCAGAATTTCTTATAATTGGAACTCCATCTAATATTGATATTTTAGGAAGCTTATTTATACATTCGGTTTGCCATGCTTTTTCGCCCAATGCCTCAAGCAATGGATTTTCTGAAAAAAATTATACATACACATAATTTCGTTCATAACGATGAATAGATATAATTTTTTATAATCATTACTCTTAAGTATTAAATCTTGAAGACTTTCCAATGTATTGAGTTTTACTACTTTACTCCAACTTTCAATGTTATTGTGAGACATATATAACATTTTTAGCTTGTGCAAAGCCAATACGCCTTTCACTTTATCAATTATATGATATCCACAATTCCTCCAAAGTATCAGACAGTGAATCCAGTCCACTTATAAACTTTATATTGTTTCGCCCTAAGGCTAATATTTTCAGATTTCAGATCTTCAATATTGCAAAAACTACTCAACTTAGTACCCATTCTGTATTAGGAACACTGACATCACAGATATATAGTTAACATAATAAGAAATTTTCAAATATTTATTTTTAGTTTATTATTTTAGATCACTTCCAATATAGCTGGACAATTTCCGAGTACAACAGGAATAAAACGAACAATTCAACGAGTTAGAAAAATAGAAAGATTAGCTCCCCTTGATCCAAAATTAGTAACCGAACTCAAAATACCAGATAATTACACAAAAACTTCAGCCGATTACGAAAATAAAAAGAGTCTATCAGATTTAATCAACTATTTTGAAGACACGTGGATTAGAAG